ACCTTTCTGGGCAGACTACGCCAATGCTTAGTCACCCTCATAGTAAAAAAGTGTTTCCTGGTGCTCAGAGGGAACATCCTGTGTTTCGATCTGTGCCCATTGCTGCTGGTTCTGCCACTGGGTACCACTGAAAAGAGTCTGTCTCCATGCTCTTTGCACTTTCCCTGCACACAAAATTCTCCCTCTTGCCAGTTAGACATCCTTACCCTCAGCAGTTTTGATGCTGGGGCCTTAACATTTACTCCTACATATATTAACGCTATCATTTTAATTGCCTTTTTAGCCTCCTTTGGTGTCCAAGGCTGTTGAACACCACTTCTGACAGCTAAAGACCTGAAAGAAATGTTTGTGTAGTAGTATTATATTATTTAGTCTCCAACTAAAAATTAAATCCTAACAACACTTCAGAGTTTCCATATGTTTGGTTTTTTTTTAAATGCTTTTAATAAACATGAAAAGGTGAACAGTTTTGTTGCACTTTAGCATCCTTAGCATTCATATCACAGCCTGGAACTGTATTCTTCCATTTGTACTATACATGCTGAAAGAAGAAATCAGCAACATGTTCTACTGGCACTGCTTCATTTTTCAAACCCAAGGTTTATTGATTGAAGAATTTATTCAATTTCAAAAAGCATTACCTGTTTTAAAGCTACAAGATAGGGCACAGGATAAAGATTAAATATTTACCTTTCGAACAACATGAAACTTACGTCATTCTCAAAACCCACCCTGAGACATTAGAAAAAAATAGTGAGTTTTATGTGCTTTTAGTCTGCTTCTGACAGTCTGATTGCACTAATATGCAACACACAGGCGTATTTCCTATTTTAAGAAATCTGTTTCATCCTGTTATAATTAAATTGCTTTTGGCAAGGCTGGACACAGATACTGCACCCTCTCAGAGGCTGCGAGGTGTGAGAACATCCAGTTCTTCAGAAACATGCTGACTTTCTGTAAGCCACTCCACTAGCAGCCTTGCAGAAGACATTGTACTCAAGGAGTCAGTGGTCTTGGACAGGCCATATCTGCTCTACTGCACCTCACACTTAGGGTCTGAGAAGCCCTCATGTTATTAATGTAATCTGTAACTTATATCTTTGGGAAAGGTAAGTTGTATGTGGATCAAGGGGTGGAACGTATTGATCCTGATGGTTGTACATTTAGGAGGTAGTGACCCACATCACAGCTAAGCTGAGTGGGTGCAAGCCCATGCTGCACCACGCTGCATACCCAGGGTGGTCTTCAGGCCCGTGCTGTGCCGCTTACATCCCTTGGCTACAGGAGGAGAGCAGCCAACTCACCGTATCAGAGGAGCATGAAGGCAGCTCCCAGTCAGTACCAGTGATGGAACCATCTGCATAGCCTTGACTTTATCTAACAGTGCAGAAACAAGTTCTGGTTTGAATGAACGTCCTTCTTCTTGTAAGAAAATTCTATAGTGCCTCAATTGACACAAAATGAGGCACTTCCCTCCATAGACAGGATCTGTACAGGCACTGTGGGAAAGGCTCCATCTAGTGCTGCATGAACATGGGTACCTGGTATCTGAAGGGATATAAGATTTACACGTTATCTGTATTCCTCTTCTTATTCTGTCTTATTAAACCAGATATTTTATTAAGCCATTAGTTTCCAGCCTTACTGACTGAGATCCAGAAATCCCCCTCTACCATCTCTTTCTCACCTCACCCCCGCCCCACTCCAGTGTAGAACATTCTCCATAATCCTGCTGGAGCTCTATTCAAAATATTGCTCTTGCCTGAAACTAAGTTGGGTTTCAAGAAGGCTTTTTTGAGATGGTAGAGTATGAGGGGAGAAATGTGCAGAACTGGTTGGGAAAACCACATACACACTTATAGCAACACACGCAGTCCAGGACAACTGGTGGGCAGGTCCCAGGTCTCTCAAGGGGGTTCTAGGAGCAGGTAGGTGGAGGGAGTTGGATCCTGGAGCCAGGAGGGAGCCTGGGGGCATGTGCCTGGTTCCCATCATCCCACAGTGTTTCTGTAACCACAGGTCCCTTCTCCCCTCTGTTTGAGCTCTTCTTTGGAGAGGTGTTTCTAGGCAACACTCAGCCCTCAGCCTCTGCCTGATACAGCTGTATATATCAGGCTGTTGTTTTTCTAGGCACAACTTCCTTACTCTGCTCCTCCACTGTTTTGGGGTTTTTTTGCCCAGTTACTGTTTCTTTTGTTTGTGATATCTGAAGCAGTTTTTTCCCAGTGCTCAAGATTGTGCTTTTTCAATGACCAATGACTGTCAAGCAAGTTCTTGATGATGCTGGGGCACCTGTCTTCAGCCTGCACTCATGCTTTCAAGGCCTTTTTTTATGATGGGCAAATCCAAGTGTGGGATGGCAAACAGCAAGAGAGACTTGCTATCAAGCCCTGCTTCACACCGTAGTTTCTCAAAACAGCCAGATAACAACCATGTAGGCCAGATTGGAGCCTTGTGAAGAGACAACATAAGGCAAAGTTAGTATAAGGCTTGTGGCCCCTGTCCAGCAAAGGAAGTCCTCTTCTCAATAAGACACAAGAAATCACTTTTATGGGCAAGAGTTAAAACTCTCCCATGCAGAGACAGGAACCCTCCACACCCAGTCTAGTGAAGTCTTAAGAACTGAATTAGTCCAGACCTAATTACCACCGAAAAATAAAATACTTCTGTCACAGACAAAAAGAAATTAAACCAACAAAAATAATGATACTATTACACACAAATTCTCTAGGGCTACGGCTGGTCTGAGCACCTGGATGCACTAGCAGACAATAGAGCCTTGGTCAGGAGTGTCATCCAGGAATTCTCTGACTCATCAAGGTTATATGACATGTCAGTTTATATATGCAGCCACAGCATGCTGACCATAACTGGCCTGTCTACTGGCTCAGGAAACTGCGGCTATGTGAGCAACCATCAGTCCATGGGCATGTAACATTTTTTGGGGAAAAAGTGTATCAGAGAAAGTTCAGACAGGAATTTTTTTCCCCCCAACATACTTCATTATCTGCTTGGTACAGACAAAACAGCAAAATAATATCTCTGAACATTTGTTTTTCTGGGTTGATGGTGGGAATCAAGAAAGACTTGGTCAGCCTCATTTCATTATTTGCGTTCGTGCCTGGCTGCTGCAGGATGTAACACCGCTCTTTGTCTGGAAAGCGAGCAAGCATTCTGAACACATTACTCACAGGCTGCAGCTCCTGGCAAAGTCACCTTCATGGCACGTAACTGACAGGTAGGGAACACTGCACAGTGACTGCAGCTTATGAGGGAACCCTCCAAAACCTCTGGTCCCAAATCCTGCAATATCCTGATGATATCTACAGGGCAAGATCCTACTTGGACACAAGTGGTTCATGACCTGTGCCTTGTTGCTTTTAAGGATGAGAAGGACTATTACAGCCTTGTGATTTGATTTTAATATCACAAAATGTGACAAACTTCTCCCTACCGAGGCTACTTTCTCCCTATGCTACTTCTACAGTCAAAAGAGAGGGAGGCTCCTGTAGATGGCTACTGAGAAGACTATCTCAGGCTCCTCTAGTATCAGCTTAATGTGCAAATGCAATGCGTTCAAGCCACAACTGCAGAGAGTAACTTTCTGATGCCTTCTCCGAATGTTTCTCACTCTAGTAATCTGTAATTCTGCTTCCAAGAACTGTGTGAGTTATGACAGGTTGAGCTTGAACAAATAATTTAAAGAAATAACAGAAGGCATGCAATAAGGACTTCCCCAGTACATAACTGAATGACTTAGCTGCATCATCCTCCCTCTCAGCTGTCATCTCAGGGCCTGCCCTGTAAAGAGCATCCCTGAGCTTCGGCCAGTCATCCATCTACAAAATTATTTTTCATAACTTAAATAAAAATCCAGAGGAAATAAAAAAAAATATCATTTTTCATGCCAAACTTCCCAAGGCTCAGACAGGCTTTCTCATGTCTTAATTTCATCTGGAATAAAGTTCATTTTCTTTCTAGTAGCTGGTAAATTGCTGTGTTTTGTATTTAGGATGAGAATAATGTCGACAATGCACTGATGTTTTAGTTGTTGTTAAGCAGTGTTTATACTAAGTGAAGGACTTTTCAGCTTCTCATACTGCCCGGCCAGCAGAGGCTGGGCATGCACAAGAAGCTGGGAGGGGACACAGCAAGGACACCTGACCCAAATGAGCTGAAGAGGTATTCCATACCATATGACATCATGCCCAGTATATAAACTGGGGAAGTTGGCCAGGAGGGGTGGATCACTGCGCAGGGACGGCCTGAGCATCAGTGAGTGGGTGGTGAGCAATTGCATTGCTTGTCTTTCTTTGGTTTTATTTCTCTTTTATTATCTTCCTTTTAATTACAATTATTATTACTCTATTTATTATTATTATATTTTATTTTTTATTTCAATTATTAAACTGGTCTTATCTCAACCCACAAGTTTTACTCATTTTCGATTCTCCTCTTTATCCCACTGGGGTGGGGGAGAGAAGTGAGCAAGGAGCTGCGTGGTGCTTGGTTGCTGGCTGAGGTTAAACCACAACAAACTCTGAAAAGACTCAGCACAGGGAAACATAATTTCATCTGTTTATACTATATCAATTCCCTAGCAATAAACATTCAGGTAACTGAGCTCAGTACAGGGATCAGTTTTATCTTGCAGGAATTCAAATACAAATTCAGCTTTGCTTTTGTCAGATACAGCGTTAAAATTAGGAAGAATGAAAAAATCTGAAGACACACTGCACATTTCTTTTGTGGGTTATTCTTTGTGGAAAAGGTGTTGATTTCTTTCTCTCCCTTCCTGATGCAAAGGCAAGCCTTAGTCAGAATGTCAGATTCACAATCCATGCATTCTCAAGATCTAACATTAGTAACTGTCCTGACAATGTATCAGCTTACAAAAAAGTTACCTACCTTAACTAAAAGCTAAGTTAACGATTCCCCTATAAGAAAATAGTATCACATTTCTCCACTTTCTCTATCTTGTTAGGTACATAAAAGAGGTACTATTTCCTTCCTAAAACAGCATCATAGAGTTTTCCAGTCCTCTTGACTTGAATCTCTCCAAAGCCAGCTGCCTCAAGGAGCTTGTTGTACTCTGCTGCTGTGCGCTCTTTGCCTTCTGTCTGCACCAACATATTCATTGAATATAGTTGAGTTTCTAACGGCCCACTTTTGTCTTCATTAAGAAGGGATTCAACCACCAGCACTGCACCACCTGGTTGAATAAAGACAAACAAAACACACACTGAGCTCTGAGAAGATGAGATGTTTTTTTAGCTGAGTCACTACACCAGATCCTAACCTTTAGTTTCAGGAAGAAATCTTTAGTTTCAGCCTCTACATTGTCATATTTCAGCATCACAAAAGATAATGAAAGAGCAAAAGCACCAGAGCATGCCTCTACTTGGCTACGTAGGTTCTGATGTACCAGGGCTGAAGGGGATGCTATGGCTGGGATGGAAATTACCCATTTTCCCCAGATGAAATCCACAGGAACTTAATGATTTTGCTAAGAACCTGGCTCTGTTGGCAGTGTTTTCAAAGCTACAAGGGTTCAATGTGATGCTTAATGGAATTTTTACCATGTTGTATAAACCTGTCTATCTAAACAATACCCCAAATCCCCAATCCTTACCCCTAAATGCCTTGAAAGAGGAGTCCCTGTAGAGAAGGAGAGTAAAACTGGACACCACATAAGGAGATCTTAGACTAAGTCCTATTTGGCTCAGCTGCAAACGGCTGGCTTACAAAAGCAAAGGACTAAACCAAGAAACCCCTGCACTGAAATTCTGCCACCCAAATTGAGCATCAAAACTGGTGTGCTTCACATTACTGATAGATGAGAGTCTCTGCTCTTCAAGAGCTCACACCAACCAGGTTTGCAAGCCTTGTAGACTTTTGCCAGCAGTTGCCTACATTTGTCATCATCCCAGTCATGCAGTATCTTGGATAAAATATACAGTTCAGCTTCTGGAATTGAATCGTTAAAGAAGTCTCCTGTAAAGCAAGAATACATGTATTATACAAAATGGGCAAAACCCAGAGGGCTGAATCAAGCAAGTATTTTCAGTTCTGTCCAGTTCTAAAGACTCCAGGTTGCCATGTCCATCACCCATGTCAGACAGCAACAAAGTTACCAAGTAAAATTCCTCTGTGGCACTGCATAAGGGATTTTGTTCTTGTTCAGTCTCAAGGAGGTCTGAAATGTTTAGAAGCAGCAGCCCATCTGAAACAGCCTTTGATACACAGGAAAATATTTGAGTAAGTTTTCTCCAATGACAGGAATTCAGATTCCTAAAGCAGTAGGAAGAGGAGACAGTTTCTCATGGTTTCAGTCATAGAAAAAAGGAAAGAATTTTCCCTTACCTAAGCAAAATTTCAAAGACCTTCAGTAACTGCAGAGCTACAGTATAAATCCATAAGGAAAAAATACAGATCTCGCCTCCTAACGGTAACTTCATCATTATACCTCTTGTTCAGCACCCAGTGTGCTGCATTCAGATTTTTCTCTCTGCATCTTTGTTATTTCTGTTCCCATTTCTTTGCACCACTGGCACACGCAACATTTCCTGTTTCTCCATCTTAGTTTTTATATACTCCCTTCTTTCCTCAAGGCTTCTTTCCTCTCTCTGAGCTTCAAGCAATATTAAGCTATTCCAAAATTTAGAAGGCTTTTATAAACATTAAAAATTAGCTCTCCCTACCCTCATTTTCATCATAGATGGTGCAAAGTTCATGCAAGATCTATGGACTGGGCAAGAGGAATATGGGATAGCTCACCCACATTCAAAGCCTGAAATATCCTTAGGACTTGAAAGTCAATCAGTCATGACCAGAGAAGTAAAAACCCTTGCTCAGAGCAGGCCTGGCATTCTGCACATCTGCCAGGAGGTCTGCACAGGAGAAAAGAGAGTGTTAGGAAGATTGGCTGAGTAGTTTTTGAACATTGTAGGACTTTCGTTGTTGTTGTTGAAGTGCACTTGTTCTAAATAAATCAAATGGTACTGTTCAGGAGTAAAGAGCTACTGGGTTGCTGAATAACCGAGTCATGTCTCTGATAAAAGGTAACTGCATTTGCAAAACTGGGACAGCCCTCTGGTAGCAATCAACTGCAGAACCGGGCTGGAGAGGCTGCAGTCTTGGACACTCTGCCCACATAAGGGGCAGCTGGAGACCTGAGCCTCCAGTGTGGTACCTCTGAGCAGAGATAAGGGATGCAGGAGCAACAGCTATGACAACATTACGTCGCTGTCCACACCTACCTTCATGGAAAGTGATCCGATGCTCCTCAGGGGGAATAAATTGCTCTTTGGCCACTTGCACAACTTTCGGCAGGTCGTAAATTGTTACCGTGGAATTTGGGTACAAAGAAACACACTCCTGGGCCAAAGCTCCTCCACCTCCTTTGGGGAGAGCAAAAGAAGGTCAGTGCTGACACAAACCAACCTGTTCAGTAACACCCCCATGAAGCGATGCAGGCAACAGTGCATTCAACCTCATGGAAGCAGGCAAGCTACATTTTGCTCCCCATGTGTTGCAGAAAGGGAAGAGGAGGGACAGGAGAGGCCAGCATCTCCATTTGCTCTGTAGGAAACTCCAAGGCCCTCAGCACCCAGGGCTATGGGGTCGGCTCCAGCCCTTACAACTCTTACATACCCCTTCATCCAGACTCAGCTGTGGATGTTGGAAGGTAGGAAATGAACAACAGACACACTAAGCCAGGAGCTGGCAAAGCAGTGATGGAACCTGTGAGGGAGCCTGACCCATCTCGTTAATCCTGGCAGCTCAGCAGTGCTGGGACAGCATTGTGCTGTAGGGTAAGAGGGTGCAGACAATATAAAGGCACTGACTGAAGGGGAGGAGGGAGTCTGGTGCCAGAAGAATGTACCAAGCAAAACAAGAAAAAATGCCAAAGTTGCCACATGCACAAGGGGATGGGCCACTGCTCAAAAAAAATGAGGCACTGTAGAGAAAAGCATTCAGCTTCCTAATGCTCTTACCACTCTTATATTTATCTTTTTAGCCCAACCAAATCAGTAAAACACTCCCTTTATTGGTGAGATATGTCCTGTTTTCCATTGTTTGCCCATCATATAACATAGGAGTTATTTTTGTTTCCAAAGCTTGTAAAAGAAGACGGTTCAGAGGCTTGTTAAAAAAGATCTACTGACGTTCACCTCCCAGGTCATATATCTGCGTGAAAGGGGAAAGGTCAAATGCAGCAAGAACATCTTTGCCACATATACTCCATACTGAGTTCTGGCCAGCCATGAATTTCACCATCTCTTCTTCTGATCTAGTAATACAAACAGATACAGCACAAAGAAAAGGTAACTTAGAATATCCTTGCTGATTCCTATCGTATAGCTGTTATTACAAGTTTTAGCTGTTTGTATTGCCACAGAATACATTCTTTTTCCATATAAACCTAACTTGAGTCTTACTGTAGTAGAAAGGTACAGCTATGTATTCATGCATTTAAATAGGGAATTAAGACTAGTCAAGTCCAACAGTGCATTGTGTTCCTAATTCTCATGCTTCCAAGGGATTTTTTTTTTTTTTTTTTAAACTTCCATTGCCACTGTACCAGAGAGCTGTGATATGTTTTTCAGGATAGGAAATTACATACTTCTATTCAAAATATCAGACAATGTCCCAGTAATGGATATTGTTGAGAAAGGAAAATATTGCATGAGGGTTCTGATGAATGGGATTCTCATATCATCATATTTAATTGTCCTGAGCCATAATTAAAAACATTAATTTTATCTACAATAAGAAGAATAAAATTTCTATAAGTATACTAATGATTACCTGTACATTGCTTCAAAAATGTCTTTAGATGAAATGCCAAAAGCTCTTTCATATTGGTTTCTTCCTTCTCTAAAATAGCAAGCAAAAAAAGCATATAGGTGTGGATTTATTGTTCTTTTACCCCAAACACACTTCAGGGCTGTAGTTTCAGCTGGTTCATCACTGTGGAAAGTGCTCAACTTTGTATAGAATATAGGCCAGACTGTTTCTAATGACTATAAAGGCACCCTCATTTGCCATCCCAAAATAAGCTGATATATTTCTCAACCTTACACAAGAATGACTGGTTCTTTTCAAGGCCAGGGTGGATGGGGCTTTGAGCAATCTGATCTAGTGGAAGGTGTCCCTGTTCACAGCAGGGGGGTTGGAACTAGATGATCTTTAATGTCCCTTCCACCCCAAACCATTCTATGATTTATAGGGACACATCTCAGGTAAAGGTACAAGACTGGTGCAATCAGTCACCATCACACATACTCCATGCTTGATTGTCAGTTGCACAGACTGGAACAAGTGAAACTCCAGCCCCATATTAAACTCCTATACACCTTTGCAACAGAAGTATCCTTAACCATCATTACTCATCACGTACTTTGTTGATGCCTCCCCAAGTAAGAGCAACTGTAGTGATCAAATGCTTTCCTGAAGGTCAAACATACAAAAATCTGATTCCTATATCACCTCTACTGTCAGAAGGAAAAGGAAAAACAAACAAACAAAAACCAACAAAACCAAAACCAAACAAGAACACATATTAGCAGTGTTAACAGATTAAATGATCTGTTGTTTTTTTCTGAGAACCAGCCAGCATCTTCATTGTGCCCTTCCCCAGAAACACACCACTCAGACCAGCCACATGGATGTCACAAAACAGCCTGCAACAGACAGTGCACAACACTCCTCCTTACCTCACAGCATCAGCCAGGTAGTGCCAGCACAAGTAGACTGTATTGGAGTAATACATCATAGTATGACGCTGAGACTTAGGACTTGATTTTGTAAGGTAGATGTTGGAAATTTCTGTGTTTCTGTAGAGGGCTAAAGAGTGAAATAAATAAATTTACTAACACCTATGATATACGAACTTGCCAAGCCTAGTATACAGCATGGTATTTACTGCCCGAAGATGTCTATATGATCAAAGACACAACCATATTGCTTCTACAATCAGCCCTCCCGCTGCAATGAGCGGTGGGTGAGGGCAGTTAAGTATGGGTTGTCCCATTCAATGTGAGTAAACACTATTTACCTACACTTACTCCAGCACCAAACATTTATTTCAAGAACAGCAAGAGAAATGCCTTATGACTGTCATCATTTACCTACAGGCTCCTGCTATCAGAAGATACTTTTGGTATACTCTGTTTAAATGATGAGCCCTTGCAGATAGGTCTTTTTTCCAATCAATAAGGTCAGCAAGTGGGAGACAAGTTCCCAAAACAGCATTTGAAACACACCTAACCTCCCTCAGTTCACTAGGGCAGGACCTTCTGCAGACAGATGAATGGATGGAGATTCTCCTTGTCTCTCTTTTTGTTGTTAATGGAAAAGGCTGAGGTACTTGATGTCTTCTTTGCTTCAGTCTTTAACAGCCAGACCAGTTATCCTCAGGGTGTTCGGCCCCCTGAGGTGGAAGACGGGGATGGAGAACAGAATAAACCCCTCATAATGCAGGAGGAAGTTGTTTGTGACCTGCTACACAACCTGAACACACACAAGTCTATGGGGCCAGATGGGATCTATCCAAGAGTACTGAGGGAGCTGGCAGAGGAACTTGCCAAGCCACTCTCCATCTTTTATCAACAGCCCTGGCTAACAGGGGAGGTCCCAGAAGACTGGACGCTTGCCAGTGTGATGCCCATCTAGAAGAAGGGCTGGAAGGAGGATCCAGGGAACTACAGACCTGTCAGCCTGACCTCAGTACTGGGGAAGATCATGGAGTGGTTCATTTTGAGTGCACCCACGCGGCATATGCAGGACAAGCAGGGAATCAGGC